AAAAAACAAACAAACAAAAACAAACCACTGGAAAAAAAAAACATTTATTTCTCAGTTAATTCCATACATTTCGATCATTTTCAAACAGCTCGAGATTTCTTAATAAAAACGACGAAGCCAATAAGCCAGAGAATATAAAGTCCTGTTCCTAGTATACCAGGAACATGGTAAATAAACAGCATTAGATAATTGGTCTTTTCTTCTATGTGATCCAGGTGGTGAATATCATCAAAAACTTGAGACCAGCAACGATTAAATAGCATAAATGCTTGAAATTCACAAATAAAGAGTGCCAGGTAGGATATTATGTGTAGAGCATTTTCCCACCGCATCTTCTTTTGGTATTCAATCATCATCCTTGTAGTATTTTCTGTACCATCTTTATGTTTTACCTCTAACACAGTTTGTTTTAAGTTATGGATGAAATTCACTCGCCAGTCGAGTAACGTTTTCTGTCTGTGTTCCCAAAAGGTCGCGACAAATTTCCAGATCAAAGTTAGTACCCAAGATCCTGTAGAGGTCATCAGCCATAGAAAAACTCCAAAGTTCATTGTCCTTAGAGTGCGTATTGTCTCTGATGCTGCTGTAACTGTTATAATGGTGTTTCTTAACTGCCATGATATCCAACTTTGAGTAAAGATGGTGAACACCAACATGCCAAGAGAAATAAGAGTGAGGAGCTTAAGAAACTGAGGTTGTTGTGGGAGTTTCTCGTGAAAGGATGGTGGAGGGAAGTTTTGGTCAAGTTGACTTCTTGAAAATTTGATGCTCATGCCGACTTCGAAACAGTTTGAAACTTTTAAAAGAATAGTCTCACAACGACCTTCTTTCTGCAACTCAACTACTGTTTAGTATTTTCAGTAATATTTTACTTTGTGAAGTTTTACTACAGAAACAATCTTTACTTGCGACTACAAAGTTTGCTTAATTCCTTTGGTATATACAAGAGTTGAAAGTACCTTGATACACCGAAACGATAAGAAACACCACGTGACGAATGTATGAATTTATTTTGTGACTTATCAGTGTGAGATAATGTCAGATGTCTCATACCGGACTTTATGAGAGAATATAAGACAATTTTATCTCTTATATGGCAAAGGTAACTAACTACATACTTTGAAGAATGTAAACTGTACGTGTGTGTTTAGAAAGAACTAAATGGTACACACATCGAACATAACTTACATTTTTTATCTTGTATATGTATAGAGAAATAAAAATAGCTTCTAGTTGCTAGAAACGGTGGTATAAGAATCCTACCTGTTGAAAAGTTTTGATTTGACGAAAGTTTAAGAATACATAAACTCAAGCTGTTGTTTGTAATTAAGCACAAAGCTACACAATGGGCTATCTGTGCTCTGGCCACTACGGGTATCGAAACCCGGATTTTAGTGTTGTAAGTCCGCGGACATTCCGCTGTGCCACTGGGGGGGGGGGAACTCAAGCTATTCGAGCTTTGACCAGTTTTCCTTACCTTCGCTCCCTAGTGGCACATTGGTATGTCTATGGAATTATACTGCTAGAAACCGGGTTTCGATACCCATGGTAGGCAGAGCACAGATAGCCCTTCGTGCTTAATAACAAACAAACAAATCTTTATCTTTATTAACTGAAATTGTTGGCTTATTCAAAAATCTTAGTTTTAATTTTTTTCCACTGATTTTGAATAATCACTAATTTCAGTGATATATATCTTGTATTCGTATAGCTTTATTCATACTAACACAAATCTGTATTCTAAGTTATCTAAGGCTATGACACAAAATTAATATTTACATCCAAAATACTAACAAACTTTTGTTGGAAGATATTTGTCAAAGCTCTAGAATTACTAATGTAAATTATTCTATCATATTCAATTTAGATCGGGGTCTGGAATTTCGGTTAGCTTGTTCTAGTAAACGATGTTTGAAAAATTATTTATAGAAATATAACATAAAATGTTATAAGTGACAAGAAAACGTCAGATAAAGTGCATTTAATTGTAAGTATTTTTATATCTTTTTTTTAACTTTTACGTGTTTGTTTATTTTAGACAATTGTAGCTCATATATACTAAATTAAAGAGAGAGACTTGTTTTTTACTATATGTATTTAAGGTCTTTATTTTACATTCCTGGTGGATAAAGAGAACTCACAGTTTAAGTTACAAGTACGTATACGGATTTTAAAAAGTGGTGCAACGTTTCTTAAGGCCTCCGTGAAGATCTCAAGTGGTTGGTCTAAAGGTTTATAGCGCAAAAATCCGGATTCTGATAGTCGTGGTGGGCACAGCACATATAGCCCATTGTGTAGATTTGTGCTTAATTACAAAAAGCCTCCGTCAATGAAAAATTTGTAAACCTATTAGTGTGTACAAAATGCCAAAGAATTTCAGTTTACAAGACATTGATCGATTGAACGAAACGATTCAGAATAGCTAGAATTTGATGCTTTATCTCCTTCTGTCTTATTATTACTCATGGTTTCTGCTCACTAGATGGCAGCTCTAAAATATACTCTAAGTACCTGATGATGATAAAACCTTGTCAAAACGTTGTACATTTGCTGTTATGTTAAACTTATAGTTTTTCTTCATTACCCATTCAAGCCGTCTCCAAGCATTATTATTCTATGTGTTATGTTTTATAGCAAAGCCACATTGGGCTATCTGCTGTGTCCATCGCGGGGAAATAGAATCCTGGATTTTAGTGTTGTAAGTTCGTAAGCTTACTATTGTCCCAGCGGGTGGTTATTCTGAGTGCAAATAATATAAAATAAAGCTGCCAATTAAAAAACCTTACTATATGCAGATTGAAATATAATATACTACTCCGTATAATAATTCTTGAGCACTAAATTATCCTTATATTTTATTAATTTGGTCAAATATCTTAATTAAATAACACACATATTGACCACCGTGATTACTAAATTACCAAGCCGTTATCGTGTACCATATTTTGAGGTTTTTATTCCTAAAGACGGCGCTGAAACATCGCATCTGAGATTGTTTGCCATTAGTTGCTAAGCTACATAATGTACTGTGCCCACCACGAGTATCAAAATCTCGTGTTTAGCGAGGTGAGCCCTCAAACATATTGCAGAGTCACTAGGCGGCGCCTCAAAGTGTATGAAATGAAACATAAATAAATAAATAATGTATGAAACTTTGTAGAATGGACGGCACCTACCTGTTGAAGAGACACAAGTGTAGAGGGGGACGTTTCGAAAGTCTTCTGTCTTTCGTCTTCACGTCCAATCTTTCAAATAATAAATAATGTACGTTCTTTAGGTTAAAAATACTGTTACGTCTCCGTTTGTTAATTGATTTTTCCGTAACTTCGTTCCGACGAAATTTTAACGACACAAATCTTTACTTAATAAAACTGGTTTATTCTTTCCGGATATAACTTTACGATACACTTAATTTCAATATTCGCGCTAAAACAAACACTATAACGAACGAACGTTAACTTCAACAATACCCTGTGACTGCAGTTCAATTACTCACTATCTACACACACATTACCTTACCATCACGTTGTCACCCTCTTTTATATACCAGACTACCCTATATCTAGTAAATACTAGAGCATTCGCCAAGGTACAGGATAGTTTGGCGCCACACCAGTCACGTGACCTCGATGACGCAACAATACCACTTATCGTTATGTATTTCTTTTACATTTTCTATATTAATTTTACATAACACAAATTAACGTAACGAGAGCGTAATTTTTATGTTATTAACTGAGAGAAAGAAAGTTAATAACATATTTACAACCGATTACAGTAATGCAAGTCTGTTTGTTTCGAAACGTGTGCGTTTGTTTTTTATTTTCACGAATAATCATTTTATTTATTTAAGAAAGTTAGTATAAAACTTTTATTCGCGCCTTTAAGTGTGGTATTTACTCGAGGTTTTGACGAAAATATAAATATTTAACTAATGAAACAATGTATTTCAATCTTTAAGTTTGTGAGTAAGATTGTAAGAACAGAATATTTTATTAGATGTATTCATTTACAAGCTAATATTTATTTTACCTCTTAAGTGGGTAGTTTTCTCTAATGGGAAGCTAGTATAACTTGAAATATAGGGCGTACAAAGAGAACAATAAATTTCACCAAAAGAGTTGTTTTGTAAGATGTATTTCCCTGAAACTGAAAAAACGAGAAACATCATGCGTAATGGTGCCTTCGTAAGAAACAACTATAGTTGACGTGTATTGTATTTTGGACAATTAAGATTTCAACCATATTTAAATATCTTTATTAAACTGTTCACACAATTTTATATGGCTAAATCGTAGTTGATAATAATGTTGAATGTTAGTTGAAACTCGGTTAATAGAAAATAAAATTAGAACTCAGTAACAAAATATAATATCTGTAAAATGAATTATTAAATACAAAATTACATCAGCATTACTACTTTCTGCACCAATTTAAGAATTCCAACTTAAAACACCATCTACTACAAAATAAGGAATAGAACTTACAATTAAAAATGGCTGGAAACGGCTTGAAGTTGGTCTGTACGTACCTATTACCACATCTGCTGCGCCATCTGGTGTTGTAGGATATTACTCGACTACTCAAGTTATGACACTACCAAAGTTCCAGTATTTAGCTGGTCAATTTTTATTATATGCCAAATGGAAAAAAACAAAAAACAATGATGTTAAGACTTAAGGTACCATAAGAGTGACACCAAGCTAAGTATGAAATTATTTCCAAAGTGAATAGGTATAATATTAATAGTGAAAAACAAGCCATTCATCTTGCTGGCCATTTGACTTGAAAGAACTAGCTTCAACAACATTAACTACTGGGAGCTTTAACATCTATGAAGTATTTGTAGCCTTATAACATATTTGTTTCTCTTTTGGTTAAATCCTCCACTCCTGCCCCTCCTTAACATAATTCTTTTCTCCCTGTTTACTCCATATACTATCCCATCCATCTGCCACACTAAAGAATCTCCTATAACTGTATGTTTTTTATTCTCATCCCTATATGTCTTTTTTTGTTAGCCTTATCTCCTCAATTTCAGCGTCCACACAAGCTAAAGGCTGAAATCTGTTATTTAATATAACCTGATTATTATAATTAAATCCATTAACGCTAACCCTATTAATAATGTCTTTAAATGTCTGAAACTCATTATTAACCAAATCCATTAATCCAAACCCTATTAATAATGTCTTTAAATGTCTGAAACTCATTATTAACCAAATCTATTAACCCTAACCCTATTAATAATGTCTTTAAATATCTGAAACTCATTATTAACCAAATCTATTAACCCTAACCCTATTAATAATGTCTTTAAATGTCTGAAACTCATTATTAACCACTATATCCTTTGTATGTAAAAGCTTGATTTCCCCTTTATATCCTGCTACTATTTCCCACAGTTTACCTTTTTCTTTATCCATAGTCTCTACCCTATTTAGAACAGCCCCCAATATTTCCTTCTATATAAAAGTTGTATAAATCCACTACTAGCTTCTTTAAATGTGCATGTCAGCTATGATTCCCAAATAAAATTCACTTCTTACACCTATCACACTTAACAAATTGTGAGCACTTAACACTTACACCACTCTTAACTCTAGTTGTTTATTCTTTTTCATTCCTTCATTTCAGTCTTCATTTAAAGTAGGGATGGTTAGCCAAGATAGCCATCAATTAATCTTGTGCATGATTCAACAAACAAACAATTACATTAATTATTATAACAAATATGTTATAACTGTCTTTCTGTGTGTGGTGTAGTCTTATTCAATACAAAATTGAATAGTTATGCCAACATTTTGTATAAAGTAGGCAGCTGTTTTTTTCACAGTTTACTTTTTTCCAAGGAAACATATTCCCATTTTGATTTAGGGTTAGGTGTATACTGGTGACTGGAGATAGATAATAGTATGAACATTCATGATTATTATTTATTGTTCTTAATAAAGAGTGAAATTTTGAAAATTAAATAAAAATTACTAACTTTAAGGTGTTAAGAATGAGGATTTTTGTTTTCTTAAGCTTCATGTTGTTCAAAAAAATGTATTCATTTTTTGATTAATTTATAAAGTGCAGCTTAAAACCTGAATAATGGTAAATTGTATAGTAGCAAAATAAGTATAAGAATACGTGTGTGCAATCCTATGCAAATACATGCTATATATATTGTTTGTTTGTTTTTGTAATTAAGCACAAAGCTACATAATGGGCTATCTGTGCTCTGCCCACCACGGTTATCGAAACCTGGATTCTAGCATTGTAAGTCTGCTGACATACCGCTGTGCCACTGGGGGGCCTATATATATTAGGTATTATTTTAAAATGCAGTATTACATGATGTTTGCTCTTCCTAAGATTAAAATATTACAAATATTTGTTGTTTCCTATGTTAGGCCCTGTCTACATGCAGTGCACACCTACATATTTAATTTCAAAACTGAAATAAGAAAATAATCTTTTTTTTTAATTAAATAATTTTATAATTAATACATTAGTATTAAATAATATTTACTGAGTATATATATATATATATACAAATATATAATGAAATAAATGTTCCAATGTTAATTTCTAGGCAGCTCTAAGGAATCGTACCTATTAACAAAACATTTATTTGTATTTTTTAGATATTTTTGCTCATCTCAATTTTAGGTTTATATTTACTAAAAACTATAATCC